TAAAATTGAAAATGCCAGCAGACCCACTTCGGCTCTCGGCAATCTCCTCCTTGAAATCCTCCCTAAATAACATCGCCTCACCACTTTTTTGGGGAGATATATGTGGCTTGTAGGGAAGAGAGGGTGATGTATGTAATATATAAGGCTGTTAATGGTAGCTGTACTGGCTGCCGATGCTCTGCTGTTGTATTGTTAAATGGCTGGTGGCAGAGTATTGCACTAGCAGCAATGACAAGGATGGGCAGTTCCATAAAAAATGTTTGTGCTCCTAGGCAGGTTTGCTGACAGCTCTTCACACATATTGTTAGTTTATACACAAATAGATATGTAACACATTCATTTTAAGTGAGGCTATTACTTTGAATAATGTTTATCTGGGCTGAGAGTCTTCACAATTTTGCCTTCAGGGAACCAAACCTGTGTGTTACATGACTTGGAAATAACAAATGTGCCTTTTGAATATAGTGCATATAACATGTAACAAATAAAAAGGCTGTGACGACTCTAGTTAAAACGTATATAAGACCATGGCTAAATGTAAGAATGTGCAAAATAACAATATACATTAAAATTAGGGATGCACCGATACCAAGTACCATACTCAATACAAGTACAAGTACAGATACTTTTCAAGCTCCAAGACTAGACTAGAGAAAAATTCAAAACTTAGGAGGCAGCTGTCATTTGTAAGGAGCACACGGAGCTCCTGGGATTTGTACATCTCTATTTTAATGTATGATTTCGTTTTTATAAATATAAATAAAGGGATGTACCGATACCGGTTTTGCAAGTACAATGTATTGATACTTGCCCAAGTACTTACAAGTACAAGTACTGATACATTTTTGTTTAGTGTCAAGTGACAGTTTTTCTAAAACAATACAGACTAATGATTTCAGGACAATGGTGGGGCGCCAGAGCCCGGTCCCAGCTGCAACCGTTGCACCCCTGGTAGTTCTCATGAAAATGCCAAGTATCGGCACTGGGATCTGAACTGGTATCAGTGCATCCCTAATTAAAATGTTGCAAAGCACGCACCCGAGTCTGCGTGTGTTCGTGTGCCTCCTGGGCACACACAACTCCAACACAACTCTCTGAACTCTGGTCCAGACTCCTAATACGGCTGCTCTCAGCCACCTGATCCAGCTATACTGGACATTGGTAACACCTGGCCCCAGGACTGGAGATCTCATTCCACCCAGAGCTCTAAGAGATCTCCAGAGCTCCAGATCCCAGCTACATTTAGGAAAATCTGGAAGGACCTGAAAAGCCAGGCTCTTCCTTATAACATTGTTTACATTCTGAACCCTCTCAGCCCCTTTGGCTGGGAGTCCAGGGTGCCAATGTTGTCATGCTACGTTGCGGCATTGCCATGCACTGCCACAATATATATATATATATACACTTACTTTTAAATAAACTTATCCAAGCACTTCCTACCTTGAATATATATATATATATATATATATATATATATATATATATATACAGTATATATTGTATAAATTGTGTGTTTCCAATTTATGCTTGTACGTAATACATATTAAATGCATACCCATTTTTCTTGGCCCCATGATGACTTTGGCAACATCTCAAGTTTACTTTTGTATTGTAATCTGACCTTTGCAATAGTGAAACATTATGCACATTTCTCAAGACATGAACATTTTCCCATGTTCCAAAGTTTTCCACACAAGTGTGGAAATAATATTGTCATTGCAGCTACATATACAATCTGCGGCTAAGTTCTTTTAGTTCTTTGCTGACTACTGCCATATATTGCATTGGCATCCAGAGCAGTGCAATGCATGGGGCAACCTAGAAAAGAGAAAACATGCGTCGGGCACATGCTGTGGCATTTATATACACGCAGGTAACACAGACACCTTAATTCAATCACTATAGAAAGGCAGCTGTTAATTGTCCAAGTATAGGGTGGGTAGTATGAAAGGTGTTGAACTACCTTGTTCTAGTTATATGATGCCATCCCTGGTATCAGAAAGTCTGTATAGGTGTTGCACCTCAGATTTATATGGCTTAATGTGTCAATTGTTGTCAAAATACTAGGGTAGAGATGTTGAAACGGCATTACATATGGTAGACAGGTGGTGTTGAAGGCCCCACCTCTGTTCAAAGATGGTTGTTCCAGTTTGACATAGATTACCTCTTTAACGCCTCTTGACAACCAGTTGTGCTTTCGGTCCAAAATATATACCTCACTGTCCTCGAAAGAGTGATAATTTTTCTTAAGGTGTAGAAAAGCTTCAGTCTTGACCTGCAGAATTTTCTGTCTTGTGTTCGGCCATTATTTTTTTGAGGTTGTTTTGTCTCCCCGATGTACTGGTCTTTCCATTCCTCACTACACTGCGCTGCCATATACCAAGCTAGTTTGCTTGTGTTTGGGCGTTGAGTCTTTTGGATGAACAAGACCAGCAATAAGTTGAGAAAGAAGCTTGTAAGAAGCATTAGTTTCAGTAATAAATGTGCTGAAAGTTTAGAAAGCAAATAACTCACTGCTGGCAAACAAGGGATTGCCTTCATAGTTTGATGTTGTGTATAGCATAGAGAATGTTGATACAGATAGCACCCACTGTAGTGAGTATCAGCATAAGTAGGAGAGGGCCACATGTAGCTCATGATCCACTGGTTGGGGAAAACCCCTCTATAACCATCATGCTAGGTAGTTTTGAGAAGAGTTAGCAAGGATTAGAACTTCTGTTGGTTTTTTTTCTGCTACCCTCACTTCTTGTCCTCTTGACAATGGTTTCATTAGACAGGAAATTAGGGAAAATCTTCAAAACAGACACAGACAGAAATAAATATCTGACGAGAGTTTCATCCTTCTACTCTACAAAAGAAAAACATTTTTATTCTTGTCTGTGTTTCTGTTGGAGCGTCTCCCTCATTTCGTGTCTGGTAAAATGTTGTCAGCAGGACAGGAAGGGAGAGAGAGTAAATATTTCTAACAGAGGCCCCCAATAGCAGTAAAAACCTGACACGAGTTCTAACACTTTCCCACTTTCTTCAAAATTAAGGAAAAGAGTTTTAGTTGGACAATTTAATAATGTGATTGTAGGAATTTTGTAGTTTGGAACAGTTGCTGTTTACAAGAGATTACACAAAATCAAGAAATGCAAAGAATAAACTATGACTGCTATGAAGTGAACTAACATATCATATATTTGCAGCATAATGGTTGTACTTAAAGATCTAAGAGAGTGTTCTCCCAATGCAGCCATTTGTGGTCAGATCAGGAAATTATCTTATGCAATTGCTGGAATGGCAAGCTGGCACCTTAATACACCCACTCACCACTCCATAAGCAGAGACATCCATATTCACCCAACACAAACTGTTCATAATTGATCAGGCATAGGCTCGCTGCTTAACTGACTACCATCTAGTGTAGGCACCTTAAGGAGATATGTCATCTAGGTTTTTGAAAACAAGTATCTCAGTGATATAGAGGGTTATTCAAAAAGCTAGCTGAAGGATCAGCCGTGGCTCCGGCTGATCCTTCGTCTGGCTTTGGGCCGCCGGAGCCCTCTGGTTCAGTAGAACCCGAAGGGCTGCTGTATGGGCTATTTACTATAGCCCGTACAGCTCCCGAAGTTGACCGATCGGCTCAGTCGAGCTGAAGGCATATGCTTTGGCTCGACTTAGCTGAGGTGTAACACGAAGCGGGCCGAAAGGCTGGCCATTGGCTGACCGAAAGCCTCGCAACTGACAGCTGGGTGGAGCCAGATGTGATTTCACGAGTGGCTCCGACCAGTTGCTATGACAGATCAGCGTCGTCAGGTTACCTGGGGACGCTGAACTGTCATTACACAATGACAACTTGGCGGAGCCGGCCGTGATCTCGCGTCTGGTTCCGCCCAGTTGCAATGACAGATCTGTAAGAAGCACAGATCTGTTATTGCAACTGGCTGGAGCCAGCCGTGAGATCACGGCCGGCTCCGCCAAGTTGTTATTCATTGGTTGTTTCCGGCCAATAGGAAACAGTTGGGCGGAACTAGCTGTCACTGCTAGCTCCACCCAATTGTTTGTTTCTTTTTTTAATGATCTTTATTTTTGTTTTTTCTTTTTTCAATGATCTTCATTTTCTTACTTTTGTTTTTGAAATCTTTATTTTTTTCTTTTTTTTGGAAATATTTTTTTGCACTGATTTGCTATTCTGCTTAGTACCACGGAGGTACCGAGCAGAATAGCTGAGCCGAATGCCGCTCGGTGGCATTCGGCTATTCACTCACTGCCGTTCGACCCCTATGAGAATAGGACGAACGGCAGCGAGTAGGCTGCCAGAGGTTCGGCTCACCCGATCCAGATGTTGGATCAGCTGAGTCGAACTCCTTCTGCACTTCGGCTCAGCTGCACATGCTGAGCATGTTCGGCCGAACCGAAGCAAGCCGATGTATGTTAGATGGCTGAAATTAGCCATACAAGCCTGAAGTGAATAGCCGAACAGCGTTCGGCTCATTTCACTTTGGGACGGTTATTCACTCGGCTGCCTATGGCAGCTTTGTGAATAACCCTCATAAAGTTATAGGTCTCATCAAACTACAAAATAATTCACAAAATTCACAGCGGGAAATTTATCAAAACTGGAGCAGACAAAATCTGGAGCAGTTGCCCATAGCATCCAATCAGCTTCTCTCTTCACTTTGAGTTAAGATTTGAAAATGAAAGGTGGATTCTGATTGGTTGCCATGCACAGGTGCTCCAGATTTTGTCTCCTCCAGTTTTGATAAATTCGCCTCACTGTGCCTCCATACCCTAATTTTTTTCTGTTACTTATTTAAAAACTCCAGATGAAGGCCTACATACATTTCTAAGAAAGCATATAGTATACATTTAACTTTATTACTATATTGTTTATATCAATAGTATTTACATTTTCAAATTGGTCAAAATGAAAAACTCATTATATGTGCATAATAAAATGTGTAGTCTTTTCTTTTTATTTGCTTCATATGTTTAAGTCAGATGCCAGTGATTTGCTTTTACAGCTTGGGATACCTGGAGAGACAAAAAAGACAGTGTAAATGTAAATTTCCCTAAACATGTTTTACATAGTAGAGACTTTACTGTAGCTAAGTGCACAGAAGGTTTTATTCTTTATATAAATAAATAATTCCTTTCTTTGTTATTTTAGTTGTTTCCTTCAACTAAGATATGTCTGATAATCTTGGATGCCCCTTCTCTGCAGTGAATGCTATCACTTCAGCCACCCTTCACCCAGTGTGTATGGTTCACCATGGCAGACTTCATCAGAGCTTGAGATTGTTATGTGTGTTATGCTGCTTATGTTATTACAATTGTTACTTATAAACATAATAAATCATTAAATAAATACACTGCAGAATTAAAACTTGCTAGTAAAACTGCACTTCTGTATTGTTCTTTTATATTAAAGAGGGATGTAAAATAAACCCTGGTGAGACCCTGCACAGCCCTCCTAAGACCCTGGAGACATCAGGCCACCACCCCTGAGCAACACAGAGTATGTAGCGTCATATTATTCTGCATTGCTGTTTACTGCATTGCTGGGATTTGTAGTCCTTTCTCGCTGGAGGTATTCTGCATTGCTGTATAATGTATTGCTGGGATTTGTAGTCCTCTATAGCTGGTTGTATTCTGCATTGCTGTATAATGTATAATTTCTTAACATATATGTATTCTTTTAAGGGCCTATTCACACCTAAGACTCCATATTGTTAAGGCAGCCCATTCACTTTAACTTGCATTAACACACAAAATAAAACTGCTGCACTACTTTTGGGCACTGCAACACAACACAGTGCACAGAACGTTCACATCTAAGCAGGTGCTTTTCTTTCACTGTTTTGTATTAAAACTAATGGCAAAGAACAGCAACACACATGCAGTGAGTTAATGTACTTTATTGTTGTAGCAGGTGTTAAAAACGCAAGTTACAACACATTCAAATGTGCACATGCTGTAGATGTAAACCTAGTCTAAAAGGTAATCATTGTGGGGTCTATTCACGAAGCTGCCGAAGGATCTGGCCGTAGCTTCGGCCGATTCTTCGGCTAGCTTCGGCCCCAGGACCCCTTCGGTTCAGTAGAACCGAAGGGGTGCTGTAAGGCGGCCGGGAGCGGGAGGCTCCCAGAGGCCCGGGAGAGTTTTTTTAATTTTTTTTTTTTACAGCAGCAGAGCCTTCCGGACAATAGGAAACTATTGGGCGGAGCTACCTGTTACTGCTAGCTCCGCACAATCATTTTCTATTAACTTTTTTTGTACTTTTTAACTATTTTTCTGTTCTGCTCGGTACCTCTGAGGGACCGAGCAGAACAGCCGAGCGGCATTCGGCTATTCACTCACTGCTGTTCGGGATCTTTAAGAATAGCCCGAACAGCAGTGAGAAGCCTGCCGGGGGTTCGGCTCAGCCGATCCAGATGTTGGATCGGCTGAGTCGAACTCCTTCTGCATTTCGGGTCGGCTGAACATGCTGAGCATGTTCGGCCGACCTGAAGCCACACGAAGCAAGCCGATGTATGCCTGATTTCAGCCAATGTACGGCTGAAATTAGCTGTACCTGCCTGAAGTGAATAGCCGAACAGTGCTAACTTCACTTCAGATCGGTCATTCACTCGGCTGCCCTCGGCAGCTTCGTGAATAGACCCCTATATGTTAAAACCCTAAATAAAAGATATCACAATCTATATGATTTATTCTTTCCAGTGGACAATAGTTTATATCTTTACCTTAAAATGACCATAGTTTTATTGTTGTTATAACATTAAATAGTATTCCCTTGATGGTTAGGAACCTTAATCCAAGTATTGAAAATGACAATCTGTTTAGGCTTATATCTGTAAAAAAAGAAAAATTATTAGAAAGGCAAGATGAAAAGAAATGCTATAGTTACAGCCTACATTTTCCCACATCCATTATTATATCTTGTAAACACACTGACTGGCTTAAGAAAGTCACACACTCTACTATTTCATTGGACTGCCTTGAGCTTTGATTACAGTACGCATTCGCTGTGGCATCGTTTCCATAAGCTTTTGCAACGTCACAACATTTATTTCTGCCCATATCTGCATTCATTTTTCACCAAGATCTTGTAATAATGATGGGAGAGTCGAACCACTGCATAAAGTCTTCCCCAGCACATCCCAAAGATTCTCAATGGGGTTAAGGTCTGGACTATGTGGTGGCCAATCCATGTGTGAAAATGATGTCTCATACTTCCTGAACCACTCATTTAAAAATCCATTAATGAAAAACCTGGTCAATCAGTATATTAAGGTAGGGAGCTGACCTCATTGCTGAACCTAGACCTGAACCCCTGAAGTAACCCCAGATCATAACACTGCACTAAATGGAGGTGGTGAGTTTTTTTTGACCAGGCAGTGTATGCCGCTAACATTTAATTTCTTCTTTTCTCTGGCTATTTCCTTTGTAACCAAAACCATTATCATGGCATTATAACTTATTAGCTATAAAATATCTCAATATGTATTTATACTTTGTGATTGGAATTTCCTTGCAAATTGCTTTCTGTATGGGGTAGGCAAACTCCGGCCCTCCAGCTGTGGTGAAGGATTTTAAAACTCATTTACATTGGAAAGATATTAGGAATAGAAGCATTTGTGTTTACATGGGTTTCTGAACATCTTAGCGTGCTATGAAGAATTTTGTTCAGTTGACTTTAATTGGAAAATTCCGGTCAACGTTATAAAAATACACCATGCAAGGTTTTTCTGCAATGCTCCTCAAAATAACATACTGAAGTATTCATGCACTTTGCATATCCTAGAAAATGCATTAGAATGCATGATTAGGCATCTACCACTATACATGATACAAGTATGCAATTAATAGAAAACTAAGGATTGTACAGGGGTCAAATTGTTCCCAAATAATCAGATTGATTTGTTCATATCAAGCTTTAATTTGGAATGCTTACCTGTTTTAAAATTCCTGGCAACAGATTCTGATAAACATTGCTCAGTAGTTTCATCTAAAAAAGCAAACAACAAAATTCACTAGTGTACATATGAATTAAACATTTTGTCTACCATTTTACTACCACAGACTGATAGCATGAACATGTTTGCTAGTAGGAGTTTATCTCTTAAATTTAATTAGGAACCAATGAACTGTATGCAATTCTGAATGTTGAAGCCAAAACTAATGTGGGGCAGCTGCATATTTCTGTAGAAGTACTGTACAGTTTATACACTGCCTGGCCAATAAAAAAAGTCACACACTTATCACACAACTAATATTTAGTTGGGCTGCTTTTAGCTTTGATGGCATGCACTCGCCGTGGCATTGTTTTGATAAACCCATGCAATGTCACAACCTTTATTTTTTGTTGCCAGATAGTGTATAATAAAAATTGTGAATTATGTATATGATGAAATGTTATTTTCTTTTACAAAGTTTATGTAAGAAATAAATGTGATAACACAATAAAATAGAGATAGTTTTCCATTCCCTTCCCTCAGGCTGTAGGATAGAGCCATAAATCCTGGCAATGCCATAACATCAAATTAGATATCACATCTAAAAGTTTGACTATGTAGATATGTGGTAACATACTTGTGATTGTGTCTGGATAAACATAGTTTTCCCCATACTGCATGTTACAAGAAAGGCTTTTAGAAGGGTTGTCATCATTCCATACAACTGTACTGTATCTCCACACATCATTTTCGGACTTATCCAGTGCAGCTGTTGTATTTAGGTCTATGGTTCTGCTTCCATCTAACTTCAGAATTGTATTAGGAAATTGAAAATCTGTGACCAGACAAACAGAGTCTGGCAAGCCATCAACTTGTTTAGATGACTTGAGTTCATATACAGAGGGCACTGTTCTTTTGGTTTCTGAAAATAAACAGGAAAAACTGTTGATTACATTTTGACCATATTTTACATGACCATATTTCTAGATGCAGTGATATAATCTATTATGTAGGGCCCACTATTAAATCCAAAAAAAAATAAAATGTATTTGTAAAGCATGACCATAATAATACATACACGGGAGAAGCACAATCCTTATCTGATTTTGCCGTTGGAACCCTTGTTAAACTTAAAATGTATTTATTTTATTTATTATTAAAATACAAGGGTTTAGATAATTTCTACAGCGCAACTGTACTAGTTTATGCTTTTTTTGTACAAATATGTAGATTGATATAGCCAGTTTATAAAGTTGTGGAACAAGATGTAATACTGTCAATGCAGTTGCAAAGTTACCAGTGCATAACTTTTTTATAGTTATAAAAAATATATTTGGAAAAAAACAAACTTAGAATTTCATACATACATACATAGATGCAATCATTGGGGTTGATTACGTAAGGAGTAAAGCATGTTAACTTTGCAAAGAATAACCAAATGTGTGCAAGGAAATCTTAAATAAAACTGGATTTCTACTTGTGCATTATTGGATGATTGAAAGTAGCACAGCTTCACCTCTCTTTTACTAGTCTAAGTGAAAACTAACGTTGCAAAGTGAACATGCTGTACTACTCCTTTAGTAAGTGAACCACATATTTTCAAACTAATCCATTCTATCTGTTAAAAATACATAGGCCCGTTATTTGGGGATCAATAGAAACAGGACTAATGGTGAAGGCCATGTTTTTTTGACTCTTGGGTGATTGTGAGGAACACCCTTTAAGTGTCCTATTTTGATGTCTGTGTTAATAGAAGTTTAATCATTGCAAGGCATATGGCCATCATGGAAGCAAATGACAGTAATGTGATATATGTAGGGGCATTGTTTAGAAAGTATTTGTACTTATTCAGATATAGTCCTATTACAGCTAAATGTATGTTTTCATCTGCCTGTAGCATGACAAAAAGAAATATCAATTGTAAATTACGTTTACATAGAATAGCTTAACTTAAAACTCCACAATGCTTGCTTACTTGGTAATACAGTGATGCTTGTGCCAGATGCAAATAATAACTTTCAGCCCACATTTTTCACACAATAAGATTTACCTCTACTAAAACCCTGACCAATCAGACTGTTTAACTAAACATTATGTTCTATATTTGCTTCTCTGACATGTACTTTGGCTCTATATACTTTAATAGTAACAAATGGAATATCAGTACTATAATAATTGTATAATGGAAATGAATATGACTAGCATCAAACCCAATACTCTGTTTACCATAGACCTGCAAATATTCTGCACCCTATGAATCAAAAAACTAAATGGGTTTTAAGATTGAAGTGAAACAAAAATAAAGAACGAAGCACCATTGTTTTTTGGGTTTTTTTCCCCAGTACACACGTCGGACAGCCCGGTCTGGATGTATTAGGAGCCGCACACCAGCTCACAACACCAGACCTCCTCCTCCCGAAGAGTACTTAAAACATTGGACTTTCTTTAATAACTTTTCACATGTTAGATTGACGCAAGCACCCTCTTGGTTTAACTGCCAGCAATGTTCCAGCTCCAAAAATTACTTTAAAGCCATTGTTATCTACACAGTACTACACTGCCATACATTAAACTGATGAAAGGTTGCTGCTAAAAGGGCATCCGAATCCAACAACATTGTTTTTGTTTTGTTGGATAGAGTAGCAATGAGTCAAGAACCTTGTTAAGTTTTATTTTTTGACTGTCTTCCCACGAGGGAAATTGACTCTCTCTGTTTGTCCTGGAGACCATTGCCACCAGGACTAAAAGTAAAGGAAAATGTAAAATTGTGTTTGTCACCAGAACAGGAACAGAATGGAAGTCTTCCAATGGGGACACTTGCTTAGGTGATAACTAAGACAGGATTTCACATTTGGAGAGATTTTCTCTAACGTCCTGTTAAGTCTACTGGGTAGACACTGAAAGCAAATCTCCCCAGTGAGGCATAGATGGCAAAAAACTGACAGTGCTTTTAACCCTTTAATACTCTCTTCATAACAAAAAAATGGCTTTAGATATACTGAAATGCACACACAAGACACACCATGAATATTGTTGTCACTGTGCAGTGAAAGCTGAAACACTTTGAGACTGACTTACTAAAATAGTTGAGAACCTGCACTCAATAATTGTGTGAATAATTACTTCATTTATCTGAAAAGCAAATTTCTGTTGACTCATTTCAGCTGCACATGATTGGATATTCAAAGTGAATATGATTTTGCTTTTCACCTGATTGGATAGATGAAGTAAATATTTACACAATTTATTGAGTGAAGATGCTTGGCTTCTTGTGGCAAATCAGCCTCAATTTTTTTTGTATTCATCAGTTATAATAAAATAAAGGCCAAGTTCAGTGTGATATATGGCAAATGATTGACAATTCTACTATATGTGACATGCAACCACAGATAAATAATAGTGTATACGCAAACATTACATGTATTAACTTAAAATTTAAAAACACTTCCATTTCCTTTGTGTGTTTTCAATAGCTGCTTGTAAACAGCAAGAGGAGATTGATATTGATATAAGATGATATACAAAAAATGCAATGCAATACCTACAGTATATTTTAACATAGAGACACTGAATTACAGTTAATCAATCTAAAATAGCAGGGACAAAGAAAATGACTCAGATCTGAGACTGTTATTTGTAATCAGGGACTATGAACAACAATGATGTTTATTTGTGTATCACTCAGCTGTAGATCTCTAATCATCTCTGAATTGGTGCTGACACTGTCCTTCTTTCGGGAGGGTGGCTACTTTTGTTCCCCGTGGTCGCTGTGTGTGTTGTAAAGTAGACAGTGCTCCAAGCTCACTCCCGTGATGAACTACAATCTCAAAATGAGTGAACTAGACAAGAGACTGTAGTCCATCACAGGAGTGAGCTTGGAGTGGTGGCTAATTTACAACACACACAGGGATCATGGGGAACAAAAGTAGCCACCCTCCAGAAGGAAGGACAGTGTCAGCACCAATTCAGAGATGATTTGAGAATCTACAGCTGAGTGATACACAAAAAAGATACATTTTTGTCAATAGTTAAGCTACTTGAATGCATTTTTAAGATTTAACTCGTAAATTTAGTGTCACTTTAAGTTATCAGGTGCATTTGACAGTTTTATCTATTTTCATTGCCTTCTACTAGTGGAAAATAGGTGTGTCTATGTGACAGCTGCCCATTTTGAGAAAAACTAAGATTATACCATTAGTCGCATGCAACTGTCTCTGTCATAGACCTCTATCATGACCTCTATCACTATTAACAACTTTTAAAATCATAGTTGTTAAGTGAATTTAGGATTCCTTTTTATTACAATATCTAAATCTAATATCTAAATATCTGAATCTAGGTAAAATAACTTTTCCTTGTGCCCTGTGTTGCTGCATTTAGTCTGTACAAATCACAGGAAAAGGAGATCAATACAGATGAGCGCTTATCATATTACTGAACTTTATAATGTACCCCTAAGATCTATTTTTGTTTTATCCCTCGTCTTTGTGAATGGTCCTATAAATAATATTGTGTGGTGATGTGACATAGCCCATGACAACAACTTTTTAACTAAACTAAACTTTCAAAAACTGATGTAAGATTACTTAAAAATACTATACACCAATCTTCAGGATGCTCTGCTGTTAAATGAACTTCCAGTATATTAAGTTCAGAAAGCTTTATACTGTATTTTGAGTTTAAATTACATAATTTATTATAGGAATTAGATTATATAAATACTTGGAATTCTTTTCTGCTGTTATATGAAACTACTAAGATTTTACTTGGATGTACGGTGAGCTTTGTCCTTATGCCAAATATTTGCTTCCAGTTGCTAGTATTAGCAGTCAGATATTTCAGTACATAAATCTCCTCTGTGCAGTTCTCTACTTATTATGTATGCTATATATGACTGAAAACATTTAATTATTGTGTACTTAATATATTGCATAAGTACTTTATTTTAAAAAAAAAGTATTGTTTTATTTATTATATTAAACTTATTTGAAAAATAAAAGGGTAAATCTGACTGTATTAATTAAATAACACCTAGTGAAAAAATTGATGTATATGTTAAGAGCATGCACATTAAATATTTATGTTGTTTCCATCTGCTCGTCAAAAGCTCAGCCTAAAAGGTCTAAATATTATTATACACTTATACAAAATTACATGCTGTCAATTATCTGCTATTCAAAAATAATAGCTCATGTGTACTGCAAGTTGGCTTAAAATGTGCTTCTCTGTTTAAAAAAAAATAACAGAGAGAAATACTATGTTATTCAAATAAAAATTAATAATACATCTACCATTTAAATTTTGCACTATATCTTAGATAAAAAGCTTGCTTATCTTATGAAACATTACATCATCTGGATTTATTTAATAAGTAGCTTGCTTCTGATGGTAGGATTGGTTATACAAGGTTGATACATGACTTGAAAAGGTTGTATTGTCTAGTTGTGATTGTACATTGAACTATGTACAGTATATGCAAAATCTTGTCAATAATTGCTTCTTAATAGTACAAAAGTGGCTGGCTCTAACACCATGATGATGGGCTGTTCTGGGGTACCACTTATGGTAATGCTTACCTGGAAATACACGTAATTTTGTTCCATTTCCAAAGTACATTTTTCCCCAAAGAGAAGCAGTGTGCACACATGCATTGTTACCTTTACACAAACTCTAGGAATTTACTAGTTACATGCAGCATGTCCATTACTACCATACTGACATCTACATTCTGAAGAGCAATGCCATCACTCTACACAGACCAGCTAAAATGCATAAAACGTTTCTTATTTACAAATGTTTTCAACATTAGATATATTTTAGTACCCAAATTAAAGTCAAACTCTATGAAACCCCCCCCCCAAAAAAAAAATTTGAGATTGCGGATTTTTTTTTAGAAACAAAAGGGAATGCTAATAGCAGGTTTGTATAGACTACTGCAAAGAAGGACATGTCTATTGGTCACGTCTTATATATGCAAGAATGAAGTAAAGACTTCCTATATAAATGTTAATTGTGTTGCTTTGCCTTAGATTTTCTTTTAACAAAATAAGAATGGAACAAAAATGTGACCCTCTCATATACAAGCCATGTCATTGCTACAGTATCTTAGCAGGGATTATTCCACTTAATATATTACATTCAACTTTTTGGTGGAACTTATAAAGAACAGTTTGTTTACTGTTTCTACCTTTTATTCCTTGCAACAAGATTATTAGTACTTACTGGGTATTACAGATAGCTGTGTCCCTGATCCAAATACAAGTCTGTAGTTGGCATTAGCACACTAACTGATATCATTACAAAATGTTTCCCCAGCACAGGCACACAGAATCCTGCCCATCTCAGATGAGGAAAACAAAAATATTTGTTGCTTGCATCAACACATTCTAGGTAAGCACTGTGTAAGCACATGCAGCAATATAACTGATTTTCATTTTAGACATATTGTGACTAATGTTTTCCTTACAATATTTGGCAAGAAAAGTTGTGTAGGGAGTGGTGTGTAGAAGATTGCAAAAACTAGACAGCTTTAAAATGTTTTTGCCATTTAATGCCACTTTTAG